ATCTTTTCCCCTAACTTTAGCTTGTTCACAAAAGCACACGGTCATCTTGGATAAGTAAAACAAAGGCAGACATCTTCGGCACCATTGCCAGCACAGAGGAAGTGAGGAAGAAGGCCACAGCCAGGCTGGGCTCGCACTCCCGACTAAGAGGTGGGGGCGCCCTTAGGGGATCTGTGGTTCCCCCAAGAGGTAGTCTGGCCCAGTGTCTCAGCGGTCATGACAGGAAGTTGCAGCCACCCTGCAGCTCTGAGCTCTCCAGAGAGGCTCAGGGTTTGTGTGGAGGCTCTGGTGCGGGAGTGGGAGTGGACACACGCCCACGGGCCCTGCAGATATTACCTCAAGTCAAGTCGCTTCTGTGTCTTCATTCAAACTACTGTTTTCCACAAAACCGCTTTTTATTTAAAATTTAACATCTACAGGTATCAAGTCATTTAGATATCAACTACTGAAGGGGTTAATCTGTGATGAAAGAATGTGTGTGGCGGAAGTACATAGCATTGACCAGGCCCGAGGCTTTGTGATAAATGGTTTTCCAGCGTAGTGGTTGTCGTTGGGCAGACATGAGCTGGCTGTGAGGGCAGGGTGACCAGAGGAATAGCTCACCTTGGATGCATGGAGCAGGCGGGATCCCCAGTGCCATCACTTTGTGGGGTCGGTGTGTAGTCAGGGTATAGGAGAGAGATAAATTTGGGGTCTCAAAAGCTGTAAGAGTTCTGAAAAGGTAGCAAATTTCCTGAATATAGTGTACATGCTTTTCTAGAGGTTACTTCCCTTCAGAAAGCATGGAATGACCTGCAATGACGAAATCTCAGGTGTCTCTGTAGTTACTAAGCTGCACAATAAAAGTGGTTTCTCCTCATTGAATGTTTGGTGTAAAACTGGAACGATATTCCTGATTAATGGTGACAGTCCACAAGCCCAAAGCGAAAGGACTGTTGGATGAGGAGGATTCAAGTCCAGGGCTCTGTCAGTCCCAGCAGCAGCTCCCGAGTGTGTAGGGCAGGCCAGGAGGAGGGCCCCAGAGGTTTCTTCCGCCCATTGGAACTGTGTGCACTCACCTGAGGGTGGATGCAGTGCCGAAGGAAATCTCATTCTTTGCAGATTTTCTGTTGCTGAATTAGGTCCCATTTAACTGTTACCTCATGGATGGACATTTATTTTATTTTGGCAGGAGTGCTCCATTTAAGCACTCAAACAGGTATTTCCTTCCTTTCCCCCTGGCATGCAAACAGTCCTCTGCAAAGTCATCACCTAATGCTATTTCCAGACATGCATTTTTAAATAAAAATATCATTTTCAAATCTTGATGGACAAAAGAAGTAAAAAGTAGATAATTTTGAGATGAAGCAACTGAAATGGAAGAACAAAATGAAAATGTATTAGTTTCCTCTCTCAGCCCGAGTGACCTATTTCAGTGTAATTGCTTCTCTCACAACAGGGCAGGTGTCGTGAGAATAGTCAGGGCGTCACTGTGTCAGACTCCAGGGCTCGACCTCCTCTTAGCTCCTGGTGATGGGTCAGCCGCCGGGGTGTTCCTGGGCTTGCAAACCACCACCCCATGGCGTGGGCCTGAGTCCTGGTGTCTGAATTCCCCTACATTCTGCAAAGGCCAGTCACTGGAAGGGATGCATCCTGAAGAGATTACTTGGGCAAAGACTGCTTCCAAATGAGGCTACAGTCCTGTATCAGGGCTTAGGCCTTCCTGATACTTGTTTTAGGAGGACACAATTCAAAACAACGAAACCCAGTTTTGTTCTTTAATTAAAAAAAAAAACAAAAAAACAATAACCTGTGTTTTATTAGAGGACCTAAGATCTAAATCTCTGAGAGCAAGAGCTGTATCTACTACGTGCATACAAAGGTCAGCCTTTACTGATTTTGAGGCAGAGATTCTACTGACTAAAAGTGACAACTAAGTTTACAAAAATAGTGCAAACGTCTAGGCAACAAAGCGTGTCAGCTTTAGCCTAACGATTACACGCAGTTCCTGGGGTTAAGTGTGTCTACTAAAGAAGCATCTAGGAGACACTCTGTGTAACTGATTGGATCATAATATTGATTACTCTGTCAAATTCCAAAATCAATTGTTGAAAGAAAACGCTCTTGACCACTCAGGCCCCTAATTGGGCTCCCTGAGGTGTTGATGTGAATATTGAAAGGACTGGGTTGTCTTCCATCTCTACTGAAATGATACGTCCCTTGGCTATTCCTGTATGGCAGAGGGAATTGAACATTTTCAAAGTCATTACCAAGCCTGTGAATGAATCTTTGAAATGATGATGCTTCCCTTGTCATAAGAGCTGAATCAAAATCTGCTATCAATTCAGTACTAGGCTTTTTCCTTAGGGATGGTCCACTCAGCCTTCTCTATTCACAACATACTCGACTTTCCTGGTAATTGGAACTGTCCACAGCAGCTGGTCGTCAGTAGATGCATCAGGTACTGAAGACAGTCGCTACCACAGTACATCTGGGACAAACTATGAAGTCAGAGGAAAAATCTCAGACACGTGATTGACACAAAGCAAATAGAATACCAATATTTTACTGCAGTCTGGTTCACTGTATTGAAAACATTCAAACCCACGTGTTAAGAAAACGAAGTTTTACCCTGATTCAGGGGCTAAGGCCTACATCTTAACATAGTTAGTGTTGAATGTTGGTCAGTAGCTCTCAGTTTTTCTCTGTTCACTGGAGAAATACTCTCATGCCTGCAGAGGTTGCTTTGGCCCTGCAGGAAAAGCTTCCCTCTCTGGTGCTCAGGGCAGTAAATGGTAACTTAATTTATCTTTTGGAAGTTCAACAAGACCCTGCTGCTATTAGAGGAAGGAGCTGGAACAATTTGTAGAGTGTAGGGCATATCCAAGGCATTGGAATTCTGGGCTGGTTTAGATTAGGGGCTTCCTTTCATTGTAGCCTGGGAGAGCCTGCAGAAGAACACCTAATTTTTCTCTGCCTCTCACGTCAACACATGTAGAAAGCTTGTCAGAGATAAAGCCAGTCAGTCTCACCTGGAAGAAGTGTTCTTCTGGAATGTTTAATTTTCAGGGTGAGAAAGAGGAAGGGGATTATCATGTTCTCAAGCAACAGCACCAAATATAACTTGAGGCCCCAGAAGAGTCTCCAGAGGGTGTTCACAGAAGCATCAGGAGAGAGAGAGAGTGCAAGAGCTGGAAGCCAGTGAGGGGAGTGAGGGAATGAGAAAAACACCAGGGAGCCAAGTGGCTGTGGTTGATGCATCCTGCATCTTATTTTCTTTGATTTTTCCAGAAAAGCTGGCAGTGAGAACAGGAATTGCAAACAATGTAGCATGTCCTTGCCAAAATATAAATACAGAAGAAACATTCTAAAGGACCATGTACAGTATCAAATTATGTGAGAAGATGGGGAGAGTGATGACTTACATTCTCCATCCTCCGCCTGGTGACTCACCAAGGAGGAAAATGAAGCAGTGGGAGATTAAAGTTACCTGTGGACGAGGGAGTAAGCCCCTAGGGTTAGCCAGTCCCATCTGCTGAGCGGAAATGCAGCCTCAGTACGTGCCTCGGGACTGTTTTGTGCTTTCTTCCATTCTGGTAACCCTGGCTCACATGTGTCATCTGGGACACAGGTATTTCCAGCACACCTGGCTGATAGCAGGCTCCTGGAAGGACTTGCAGGTGACAGTCACTCCCCACGCACACTCGCTGGCTGAGAACACAGGGTATAAAAGCGTGTCCCTGATGCTTAACTTAAGAAAGGCCTGTATCTTGGGTCTTTCCATTCTGGTACCTGTTTGATTGACTTTAATTCTCATATCACACAGCCCACCCGTTTGTAATCTGTTTCCCATGCTTGTTTACTTGTTTGAAATCTGTATCCTTTGGTAGACGGCAAGCTCAATGAGGGGAACAACTTGGCTTCCTTCAGCTCATGCACAGTAAAAGCAGTCAGTATAATGGTGTTTGGATAAATGCAGAATGACTGAACAATAAGAAAAACATTAGATTGTTAAGGTTGAGAAACTGGCTTTAATAAACCACACGTTACTTTGTTTTTCTCCAAAATCACTGGCAATTTTTAAACTCAGGAAATAGCAAGGTGAGAGAAAAGGGGTGCGTCTTGGCCTCTCGCAGCCCCTGAGCCTCTGGCCTGTACCCTAGTTCTGTATGCACAAATAAATCTTAAAAAAAAAAAAAGAAAAAGAAAAAGATGTACTTGATATAGAGAAAAGAAAGGGCAATAGAGGCCGTACTGGCAAGTTCTTGCGTCAGGCCCTCATGTGAAAGGAGCTGAGAGACAAAGAGGTGAGCCCGGCAAGGCCAGGGGTGTGTGGTGAGGCACAGGGGCCCGGAAGCTCCCACACAGAGGCAGGGTGACTCCACGTTGTACCCCAGTTCTGTATGTACAAATAAATAAACCTTTAAAAAAAAAGACATATGCAAAAATAACTATAATTTGATGACCAAAACATGAGGCAGGTTGTCACTAATTTTTTTTTAAAAAGATTTATTTATTTGTGCATACTTCCACGTTGTACCTGTCAGGGTCCAGAAACCGCGTTTTGCAAACCTGGAATACTAAGTGATTTAAGTATCACTCTACCTTATTTCTGTGGAAGAGAAAAGCAGCTTTATGTCTAGCCCATACTCTCTATGAACTCTCCACGCCACAAAGATAAGCAGGTGAGAATCGCAGGATGTAGCACACCAAGTCCTTCCTCTCTTGAGGCTTGACTCTTTCCACAAATTTCTTCTGACTGTCATGAAATTTGCTCCTTTCTCTCTCTTTAAATTAGTGACAATCTGGCCCTTCCTGGTGGCGCAGCAGGTTAAAGCACAGCACTGAGAAGCTAAAGCCACTTACGCATGAGTTCAATCCCCGCCTGCCCCGGGAGGTGACCACACGGCGCGGCAGACCTCTCCTGGCCCACCTGCTGCTCCCCTCAGCAGTGTACTTCGTCGATCTGCCTGTTCTGCTCCCCGCTCTGTCTATGGTGAAGTCTCTCGCCGCCCCTGAACCTCTGGCCTGTACCCCAGTTCTGTATGCAGGTGGTAGGTTGCAGGCCATGCTCACCTCTTTCTGGAAAGGTTCTAGGGGGTAGGGACAGGAAGGTGCCCAGAGGGAGGCATCCCTGGCGGTGTGGTTACTCATTAGGATGGCGGGAGATACAGAGTAGCACCCATGGGGTGCACTCACCCCCAGGAGTTGGAGATTCAGCCCAGTGATGCGGTCCTGGATGGGCCATATCCCAGAGGCATGAGCCTTCGGTGGCAGGAACCTCCTGACGTTAAAGTATCTGCTGAGTGAGCTGCAGCTCTGGCCTTCACCTGTTCCCCAGAGCACGTCCTGGATGGAACACACTGGTGAGAACCTGCATTAGGCAGAGAGTTGAGCAGGTTCAGGGTCACCGTCTGCTGCTCAGCCAGTGGCCCCCAAGCCCCAGGGTCACTGCCTGGGCATGAGGAAGCAGGTGGTCAGCCTGCAGCAGGACTGGCTCAGGAGAGAAAGTGCAGGCCCGCCCCCCAACTCCCCGCTCCCAACCCTCCCGCCACAGTTTCTCCTGCTTTCTCTCAGGGCCTCCAGCAGCCTGAGGTGAACCCAGCGCCCTGACCATCGGGAAGCTCCTCCTCAACCCTTCTTCCCTTTATTCTGAGGACTGGTGGGCAGGGGCCCTGGGAGCCTCGACCATTCACCAGATAAGTGATAGACTGTCCTCATTATGAAAAAGCTTCGGCGACTGGATTGTCTTTGTTGAACTGAGTCACTTTTAGGCTACCTCATTTCTCTTTGTTTCTTCATCAGTGGAGTGGGGACAGACAGGACTAAACAAGCTACAAGACACAAAGTGCTTAGAACAGCACCTCCGAGCGGGGAAAGCATGAGTAAGTTGTTGCCTGTTATTTTTGTCAGACTGAAGTTCTGGAATGGAGGCTTTACCTAGCATGTATTATGGATGTGGTGTCTGCTTTGATCCAGGAATTATTTAAGATAGTTTGGACCAAAAAATAAACTTTTATACTTTGCTCCCTTGGAAAATGACTCTCTCACTCACCAGGCCACAGCAGGAGGTTGGGGTCAGCCAGCATAGAGATTGCCAGGCTATGAAAAGCACTATGTGGAGAGACTAAGGGAATTTCTGAAAATCATGTACCCCTGTCCTGTTTTTAAGGGGCCCGAGAGTGCCCTGATGTCTCTGAAGTCACTTTTAGAAAAGAGATTCGGGCCCTCCCTGGTGGTGCTTTGTGTGGCAGCGCTATGAAGCCACCCACAGCCACTACAGCTCAAGAGTTCGATCTCTGCCCCGGAGGTGACCACATGGCGCGGCAGACCTCTCCTGACCCGCAGCCGCTCCCCTCAGCAGTGTATTTCAGTCAGTCTGCCTGTTCTGTTCCCCATTCTGTTTCTGGTGAATACTCTCACCCCCAAACCTCTGGCCTTGTACCCCAGTTCTTGTACACATAAATAAATCTCAAAAGAAAAGAGATCCAAATAATCTTTGGGCCTTACACCTTCCCAAACACCCGCAACTTTGGTTCAAATAATGCTGTAGGATTATGAGATTGAAATTAGGCATTTTTTTTTTTATCAATTGGATTCATTATAAACCAAACTGAAAATGTTATCCATTAACTAGATGTCTTTCTTTCCGTTGTGAAGAAACAATAACTGCACTTTTTTGTTCTTCTGTGTGACTAACCTTTTCTGTATATAACAGGCCCACTATCCTGGGCGTGGGAACCGGTCACTCAGAGCAGTCTGATGTTGGTCTCCTGGAGCCGGTCCACAGTATGATTCTGAGGAGCCACTTACTACGTTTGTCTTTTACTTAGCTTTGAATTCATTTCACAGTGATGATTATTTCCACTGACAACAGCATTTGTGTCTTGGTTTAAAGGATGCATTTCCATAAGGCACCTATAATTATCTAGAGTGGCAGGATGGATTTGATGAGTCATCCCCATGTAACAAAGCCCCTTCGACCGAACCAAACATTCCTTTTGTTCTCCAAGAAGTTTCAGTGTCTAGAAGGCAGGGCCGGGAAAGCTGAACATGCTTAAGCTGTGGAGTTTTTGAGGGTTTTCATACTACTTATCCATAGGCAGAATTACCCTCTAGCTTTGGAGAACATTCCACAGCATGGAAACATAAAACCCGATTTCTTTTCCAATGACGGTCGTCTTCTAAAAATTCTGTGTATTAGATATTTCATTTTGTTTTTAAATAAGGTGCTCTGGCTGGTTTGGTTCAAGTAGATTATTGAAAATGGCGGCTCTTTGTTTTTATTTTTTTTTTATTTTATTTTTTTAAAGATTTATTTATTTATTCATACAGAACTGGGGTACAGGCCAGAGATGCGGAGGGTGAGCGGGAAGCAGAACAGGCAGATCGACGAAGTACACTGCTGAGGGGAGCAGCGGGCGGGTCAGGAGAGGTCTGCCACGCCATGTGGTCACCTCCGGGGCAGGCAGGGATCGAACTCATGAGGAAGTGGCCTAAGCTTCTTAGTGCAGTGCTTTACCCCTAGGTGCCACCAGGGAGGGCTCTTTGTTTTTATTTTTAAGTGGCTCCGTGTACCTACAGAGCCCAACGGGTTTGAGAGGATGATCTTATGGAAGGGGAGGTGGAGAGCTTCCCTGGTCTGTGTCAGACAGGGTAAGACAACTGGACAACTTCCTTCTACCTGGAAAGGGAGACCCAGAGTTATCAACAGAGCGTATTCGACTTTAAAATTTATATCAATAAGTGAACCTATCTCAATCAGTTATTCTATAGGTAAGACACACTGTTGGGTACCTAGGGATAGATCACGTCTGAAAAGAACATAAAGTTAGCAGAAGTGTTCTCTTCCGGTTAATGTGTTAGTGAATGACTACGAGTCAGGGCCCTGAAATTGTGCAGTTACTGTCCCATTGCAAGCTCTGTGTAGACACCCATGTTGACATGGAGAGGTGAGAACCTCAGTCCCAACACAAAGCAGACTATGAGGCACCCCCATATTTGGAATATGACAGGCTGGGCTTGAGCTATCAGATGTCTGAGTCTTCTGGAGTGGCTTTGATTCAAAAGGCTCTCTTGCTGATTTTTTTTTCTCTTGCTGATTTTAATTAGGTAGAAACACAATTTAAGACGACTTATTCACTGCTTGTTAACCAAGGAAGATGGCCTGAAGCGCCATTCTGTCCCCAAGAATTTTTCAAGCGTGCTTTTCTGGCTGTTAAAACAGTCTTTCACATCCAGGAAAAACATAGAGGGATTATTTAGGAAAATCTATGCCTAGAAACTGTCAACTGTAGATCACTGTAAACCATATAGATATGAAAACAAACGGACTTAATATGTGCATTTTCTTCCTGGTATGTGCACGTATAGATCTTTGTCATCAGGGGACTTCACATCCAAAGCATCCTTTCCCAGACTGTGCTGATGGAGAAAAGAACGCCTTGGACCCTTGGAATTTCCTAAGTGATGAGTGCTACAAATTTTTTTTTGTTATGTTAATGAGGTAACGTTGGAAACCTTCAAGGTGACCTAATTTGGGCGTCTCTTGCCAGGAGAACCAACCATGTGACTGGAGCGTTGGTCCTTTCAGCCCCAACCCCTGACTTCCAGGTAATTTGGGGGTTGAATCAAATGCCAGTAGTCGATGACTAGTCAGTCATGTCTATGCAATAAATGTTCATGGCATCGAAAGGACTGGTCGTGGAGTACTTCAGGGTCGGAGAATTTGAAACGCTGGTGACCTGCTGAGGGCACAGCGTTCCAAACCCTTTCCTTACCCCTTGTGCCATGTGTCTCTTCTGTCTGCTGTTCCTGAGTTCTTGCCTTTCATAATAAAGAGATAATATGGTAAGTGAAATGTCCCTCTGCATTCTATGAGCTACTCTAACTAAACCCAAGGAAGGGGCTGTGGAACCTCAGATCTGCAGCTGGCTGATCCAAGGACTAGACCCTGTCAGGGGGAGGGGAACATTTATACATGCAGATGGGGTGAAGCTTAGTACAGCCCCTGGAGGGCAAGCTGGCAGGGCACTGCGTGTGAGGCATTCCACCCGGATGGTGCACCCTACATGAATCCTCTGACACCCCATGGGAGGACACGTGGGATGCTCTGAACAGTCCTGTGTGTACTTGGTGGTGGGTGGGGAGCAGCCACCACCCAGGAGACATGGGGTGGAGGGATATCACTATAGCTAGACAAGTGTAAGCAACTGGTAAGGTATAGAGCGTAAAAGGCGGAGGGAAAGATTATGACGAGCATAATCAGTCACATAATGAGACTGGAAGTATAAAATCATTCAGTTCCATTAAAAGGCACATGGAAAAGTGCCTTGCAAATTTAATTAGGGAAACACACACACACAAGAGGATTCCTAGTCAACATTAGATGGTTTCTTGGTGTCGGTAGGGAAAAAAAAGGTGTAGAGAAAATGGCCAACTAAGTAAGCGGTCAGCCAGCTAGCAGAGGAGAGCAGTCTTTCTAGACCCGTGTGGACGAAGGGTTATGGACTAAAGAGTATGATTCATCTTCCTGAGGTCCTCCAGAAAAGGAAGGGAGGAAAAGAGGAAGGAAGCGAGAAAGCTGGAGACAGAGAGGGGAAAGGAAAAGAGGGAATACAGAACCACTTTGTAACCTCCTGCTTGCCTAGGATGAAAGCACCCTCCACAGGTCCGGTCAGGCCAGTGCAGCTCAGGAAAGAGTCACAGTGGTGGCTGCAGAAGCTAAGAGTCACAAGACAAACAGGGAACGTGTTTGTTTGTTTGTTTAATAATATATAATATTTTTTCAAAGATTTGTTTATGTATGCATACACAATGGGGTACAGACCAGAGGTGGAGGGGTGGTGAGAGGATTCACTAGAGACAGAGATGGGAGCAGAACAGACAGATCAATGAAATCCAATGCTGAGGGGAGCAGCCGGCCCATCAGGAGAGGTCTGCTGCACCATGTGGATCACCTCCCTGGCTGGGGATCGAACTCATGCTGAAGTGGCTGCAGCTAGTTTCACAGTGCTGGGCCTTAACCCATTGTGGCACCAGGGAGGGCTCAGAACGTGGTTTTAATAACACCTAATAGAGAAGGAAGAAACTCTGGAGAAAATAAGAAGTTAGGCATAGTCATAATGTGGAAGCGGGAAGGTGGAGAGGAAGGACAAAGAGGCCCCTGTGCAATCAGCTGGCCTCCCCCACCTGGAGAAGAGCCTGGCCACCATGAAGTCAGGGTGCACCATCACCCATTTCTGCTCTTCGTTAATCTCCAACCACTAGCTCAGCAGAGGAAGGGAGCCCCACACTCCAAAGAATTCTTTCTATGCAGGCTGAGGGACGTGTGTGAGAGACGCTCTCTTAAGTCACACTGACACAGCAGTGCCTGTCTCATGGAGACAACCAGTCCCATCTTGCAGTCAAATTATTTGACATTTTATTATTTTTTTAAAAAAAAATTTATTTATTTATGCATACAGAACTGGGGTACAGACTAGAGGTGTAGGGGTGGTGAGAGGATTTACCAGAGACAGAGGGGGGAGCAAAACAGGCAGATCAACGAAGTACACTGCTGAGGGGGGCAGCGGGCCTAATAGGAGAGGTCTGCCACGCCATGTGGTCACCTCCTGCCGGGGATCGAACTCACGTGAAACGGCTCGCTTGCAGTGCTGTGCCCTAACCCACTGCACCACCAGGGAGGGCCCTATTTGACATAAGAAATCACAGGGTCACTAGTATTTGAAAGTGTTTTTATTTTCCCTCCCTTTCTACTGAGTATCATTGTTTTACATCCTTGTTACTGTTTTGACAGCCCAAGTCCCCCCTTTAGGTGTAGTTTCGGGAAAGCACCCACAGCCCTCCACCACAGTCCCGTGTGTTCCCTGCCCCCTCTATGCCTCAGATCTGTGGTCAGCTTTCAAGGCTTGATTTTAAAGTTTGTCTGACTTTTTGTCTCGTTTCTCCATGTTCCACACAGAATTGATGCTGTCCGGTCTTTATCTTTCTCGTCTGGCTTGTTCTGCTTAGTCATCCTTTCTAGCTGTAGTCACCTGAAGGGCATGAGTATCTTTTTTGATCTCCAAGTAGTATTCCATTGTGGGTGTTTACCACATCTTCTTGGGCCACTCCTCAGTTTTGGGAGACGTTTCAAGGGTTCTTCGTGGTCACTTCTGATATATTTTCCAGCTGAGAAAGCTCAGCCTCAAGTAGGTTCAAAAGCCCAGTTCTGCTTCCCTACAGCACCTCCTAGAAAGGGATTCTGAAAGGGAATCTTCCTGCTGGGAAAGGCAGTTATGGAGGGAAGGGGAGAGATTCTAATCTGAAGAGAGTGAGCAATAGGAACAGGAAAATGCCTATGCCCCAAGATTCTGTTTTTAGATAATTATTTTTATTACTTTAAAAAGGGCAGAAACTAAAAATACTTGACATATCAGCACATTCAATCTTAAATTGATTATTTTTCAAGGTTTTCCATACGACACCAAGAATGAATTAAATTTCCATCCCTAAAAACCTCTGACAGAAGAAATTCATACCTTACATATCATATCATGAAAGGAGAACGAGCATGGCATTTGCTCATTTTCCTGCAGAAGGGGAAAAAATGCTTTCCTGAGAAATATTCTTTGAGCTCTTTGACTCAGACGTGTGTCGGGAAGATCGTTTCACAACCGAGAAAGTTGTTTTCTTACCTTTGCCTCTCTGCGCTATCTCTTTCTGTTTTTTAGTATTTATAGGAGTAGGATATAGTTAGCTCCTAAAATGGTTAGCAAAATCCTACCTGTTTTACTTTACTATTTATGTATTCATTTCCTCCTCTCATGCTAAGCTCAGTAAAACATTTGTTTCTAATAAGAAAAATAAGTTGTGTGTGTGTGTGTGTGTGTGTGTTTGCTAAAGCTTGAAAGTTCAAGTTCATTTCTGGCATTTGGTTCTGTTAGACTCCATTTATTTGTTATTGTCCCAGATTAATAGCCTTTTAATTGCAGTTATTAATATATAAAATCCAATATTTATCCTCTCATCCAAGAAAAGAGAAAGAAAACTCATAGAATTTATTTGTAATTTTTGGCCTTCTCCCATTTGGTAGCAGAGAAAAAAAAATAAATGTATATGTTACGGTAAACACACATTTGTTACATTACATTTGGGGTATACCATCTGTATTTGTCTGTGTACTCAAGAAAATTATATATTGTTCACCTGGGTAGCAATTTGTGTTCTGGCAAAACTTTATTTGCTCTCAGGGGAACCTATTTAATATAATTACATTTAATTGATATTTGTGGTGGTGGATTAAGGAAAAAGGAGCCGTCATTTAATATGCTTCAGGATTTTATGGGTCTTGTATTTCTTGGCTTGGTTTTTAAAATACATTTAACCACATTTTTTAAAGCTAGGTACTTAGATAAATTCAGTCCTTTATTAAAATAGTGCACCAAAGGGGTAGAATTTAACATTATCTAACATCCTCCTGCTAAAGCCATGAAGAAAGAATTAACTTTTTCTCCTTCAACACAGTCTGCTTTCTAAATGTGTCGTCTAAGCTTTTGCGTGTTGCCTATGATTATTGAGGGCTTGGCTCACAGCCAGCCTGAGCAAAGAATAGCTGACCCCTGATTCCTGCCTTCTTCATGCTCACCTGTGCACTGGGCTTTCTCCTTATGTAAACAGAATTTGCTGTCAGCGTGCAGTATTTAATCATTTGTATTGCTTTATTATATTTTGAGTTAATTAAGTTTCACATGGTGTACTATCAGGATACCCCTACCAGGGATTGCCACTGCAGTGCACCCACCCCCAAATCACCCATAGTTCATCACCACAGCCCGTCGGCTTCCTTCCCTCTTTCTTCTCACCTACCCCCGACCCCCTTTAATTTATTTAACAGATGGGTCCTGGCCCTCTTCAAAGCTGTTATAAATGTGAAAACTGCAAAATGATCATTTGCATCTGCATTACAATTTTTGCTCATGAAATTATTTATTCCCTTTGAACTCCTTTGTGAATACAAGCACTCCTAGTGGGCATCACAGTCACAAGGAAAGCAGTTGTAGACAAAGTATAATTGACGCCTGTCTCTGTTGACACGTCATTGTCACAGACTGTCAGCTCACTCAGCCTTGAAGACAGAATCAGGTTAGATCAGCAGCTGGTAAGATGAGCATATTTATGCCCGAGACTGTATTAATTTACTCGTGTTGAAAAGAGTAATTAGAAAATAAGACTCTGTGAAACAATTTTTTTTTCTGAACTTCAAGGGAAACACGTGCTGTATAAGTAACATGGTTCTTAGTAAAGGTGGGTGGCTTCCCATTAAGTGAGCAAGTAAGTGTTTCCCCAGGTGACGATTCCGAAAGAACACTGACTCATTTATCCCCATCATTTCCCCAAACAAAACGTCTAGATGGTCTTTTTGTTTTCTCCCTCTGCAGCCACAAGAATGCATGTGTGAGCCCTTCCCGTTGAACATCTCAAAGGAATGACGGGAACTCTTCATCACCCTGGCCTAAGCCTCTGCGCGCCAGGACTGAGAGGCGCAGAGTTCACACGCTGGGTCGCTGGGGACAGCATCGGGCCCCCCACATGTGTGGAAGAGGAGTGAGTGCTACGTGCTAGGGATGTGGGTTTCCACCTCACGGTACTTCTTCGGGCTTGTGGTTCCATCTTTGCGGAAGGAGGGCATGGACGGAGGTGTTTTAGGAGAGCCCCAACTCTGTTTTCCTGGAGTCTTGACTCTGTCACTCCTTCACCACGTACGTACTTCCCCAATTCTAATAGTCTCGACTTACAAACGAATCACCCTAAATCAGAGGGAAGGTTTCTAGAAATATTTTTCACTAGTTCTTATTCTCAGGGGGCAGCCCAAATCCCTAAACTGAGCACCACAAAACATGCACATTATTATGTACCAACTTTCCCAGCCCTTCCCAGCGACACATCACCTATTTAACTGAGGAAACTGAGGGTGGGAGTCAAACGCCCCTCTCAAAGTCGCAGGGGCAGGAACTGGCCACACTGACCCAGGTGAGCGCTCCCTGCCAACCAGCTGCGCTGTAATTACCCTGTTACTCCATATTGGACAATTTCACTTGGCAAACAAGTAATCCTAAGAGCAGAATAATAAATTGATTCCCAGCATTGTTTCTGAGTTGTTGGATGTCTCAAGCTCTTTTAAGCATTTTTGTGGGTTGAGAGAGGGAGCAAAGTGGGAGGGGGGAGAGAGAGACTGAGGGAGAGAGAAACAGATTTGTTTCCATTGGAGAAGGTGACGGAAAGAACCTCATCTTTAGGGACGTAAGGGTATTTTTCTTGGGTACCCCGTCCTTTCTAGAATGAGTACATTCACTAAGACATTATTGACCAGGGGATGAGGGTGATGTCAGACTCTGTGTGCAAGCCCCAGGTGGATGGCTTCCTTCTCCATGTCAGTGTGAGGCAGGTTTCAGCAGGAAGTTCTGGCCACCATGTCGATTTGCATTAAACTGTCGGTTTGTTGGCCTGAGATGACAGCACATGACACAGTCAAATAATTTTTCTGTCAAGTCTATTCAGAGAAAGAACAGGGATGAAGTATGAGAAAGGGAATTGAAGAGAGATGGAGTTCTTTTTGACAGGCGGAATGGAACATTTTCTCTGCTTTTAATTTAAGGTTCTGAAACTGGCTCTTCACTCGGGAAATGGACGTGTCTCCAGGCCTGTAATATCCTGTCTCACATAAAGAGGGGTGAGAGAGTGACAAGATATACTCATTCTGTGGTATCAAAAAACCAAAGATCTCATCTGAACTTGACAAGATGCTATTTTTAAAAATTGTAGTGAGGTAGCATCGTTTCTCAGCACTGTTTGAGACACAGAGGTAGAGGAACGCATCTCTCCACATGCACGTCGCCACACCACACCCACCACCCACCATGCTTCACCATAGTCCCTGTGCTCCCATCCCACCTTGCTCTCTACTCTTCCTCTCCCCCTCAAATAGCCATAATTCTACAGACAGATTTCTAGGGTGTGTTATCATTCTATCAAAAGGCAATTTTGGATGAAGGCCGTCCTTGCTTTAAAGGAAACATGGATTAACTTCTATTCCCTTGCCCCTAAATTTCCTGCCCAGTGCATTGGGGTCCACTGACATGAAGTGCTAAAAGGGCACACACAGAGAGAGAAGTGATGCTAGAATAATTTTGAGGATCACTGAAACTTTTCCTAGTTGAGAAAATCTGACAGACTCGGACAGTTCACTCAAAAAATGTGTGTCCAGGAAAGATTGATGTATTTATGGAGGCCTCGGTGTGTTTATATGGCCTGTTGGAATTTGAAGCCCCAACTCAGCCTCTTACAGGCCACGTGATGTGTGAGTTATTTTTCTTTCCTGAGCCTCAGGTGCCTCATCTAGAAAATGAGAACAAAATCGTGTTTTACAAGGTTGTTATAAAAATGATAATAATTGGTGCTTCCTTGATGACACAGGGATTGCGGCACAGCACTGTGAAGCTCTCCGCAGCCACTGCAGTATGAGTTCAACCCGGGGCTGACCCACATGGCGCGGCAGACCTCCCCTGACCTCCCCGCTGCTACCCCCAGCAGTGTACTTCGTCAGTCAGCCTGTCCTGCTCCACACTCTGTCTCTGGTGAATCTTCTCACCACCCCTGCACCTCTGGCCTGTCCCCCAGTTCTTGTATGCATAAATAAATAAATCTTTAAAAAATGATAATAATAATTGCTTGTTGGTTGCTTTCTATGTATCACACTGAACTAAGCTGTTTATGTCTACTAATTGAATCCTCAAAATAGGTATATTAACTTGATATCAGACAGGTATAAACTGGGTTTCTGAGATGTAGACCAGGCTCACCCCGCCATGAGGTGACTGGTTAGAATTTGAACCTAAGTTCATCTGATGCATCTTCACATGAGCATCTTCACCGTCGGTCTGTGTAAATAAGCTCTTCGTGAGACGCTGGCTATCATTTAACAGTGATACTTGCGAAGGAGGAAATTAGAAAATGGGTACAAGTGGTCAGGAACAGAGTACCTCAAGTCCCCAAGTCCATTTATCAGCCTGACGGATAAATAATCCGTTGGAAGGCAATACCCCAAAGCTTCCCTCCCCCATACAGGTGCCATTCGTCCATTTATACTCTGACTGGAGAACAATCACCAACCGGGAGGACTCCCCAGCCCCCACCCCACCCGCCAGCCCAGTAGCACGGACATTCAGAACACCAGTACAATAACACAATGTTAGAGCAATGGGCAAAACCTGGTCTTGAAAAGGTAGGCCAGGCACGTGGGCAGAATCAGTGGGCTGTGGTAGTCTGGGAGACCCGCGGGCTCAGTCAATCAGTAAGAGACTGAACAAGGAGCACCCCCAGTGGCCAACCCCTTGGCTCCATGCCCACGGTGCCCAGAAAAGCACCTGCTGTCTGCCCATCCATGGCTATAGCTACTTGTGTCTCCTCTCTGCTCAGATGTTGCCTGTCCTTCCTGCCTACCAATAAATCTCTTGCTTTTCCATAACTCTGGTCTCCATTTTGAATTCTTTCCTCACCAAAGACTAGAAATGAGCGAGAGCCATTTTCGGGGGTCCTAGGGCCCCAGGTCTGCTCTCCAAACCCAGATTCACTGTGAAGCAACCGATAAAGCAGCTTTAATTGCTTGGTGTCCTGGACCACAAGCACCATTCATTTAGAAGAGGATTGTAATGACCTGAGGGACTTTGACATATTTTCTTCGTACAGCAACTTTATTAAACCGATGCTATTATTGCCCTGATTTCACAGGTGTGGAAACTAGGGTGCGGGGGTTTTCAGCAACTTGCCCCAAGTCCTGCTGCTGGTGAGTGGCAGAGCAGGGGTTTAACCCAAGCCGGCTGTGGTGAGGTGGGTCAGAACAAAGGCCGAGAGAATTTGCAAAATGAGACTGTACTTGCCTTGCTGGTAACAAGGATAACTGCCAAGTGTGTGTGTGGGGGGGGCTCTTCCGCATAGATTTGTCTGGAATATTTGGGCACAGGGACGACTATTTTCTCTCTGATAACCTTGATGTTTCCCAAGTCTCATTATTCAGAAAATTCTGACCAAAAGTCCCAGTTCCTGCTTGCCCAGGCATCCCTGATTATTAACCCTCCTGACTGTTCACAACTCCGTCCCAGCCTGGTTCTTGTCTTTTTAAGCTGAATATTCTGGAATGTGAGGCGCAAGAGAGAAGACAGACTGTGAGAAGATATAGGCAGCTCATCATCTGTGGCTGGTTTCTATGAAGCAGCCTTCTGGAAAACCTCTGCTCTGAGCAACCTGTCTTTGGAACATTCCTGAGAGGCACAGGTAGGAGGCTCCACCATCTTAGAGGGGAAAAGAGATTTGAATTTCATAGCAGGTAGAGTTCTTAAATATAAGAAAGAGAATGTGTGTGTCTTAAGGGCCACAAGCCCTCGATGAATTTATTAGAAAGTTGGTGGGTATTCACAGAATGGAGGAAGGCGGAAGAAATCAACTGAGAACTGGAAAAGGGCTTGGGAGTCAACACCCAGTGAGATGACACATGAAATGGCCGCCAGGGGCCGCGTTTCTGCTGGTCAACACCGTGCCTCCCCCCCTCGCCGCCGAATCAGAATCGCTCCCTGGAGCCTGCTGCCCCACCACAGACCCTCTCGGGTGCCCAGGGGTTTGTATCACTGATTCAGATTCAAGTCCAAACTGGGATAACCAGTTGGCCCATTTTCAAACCCTGTGTCTGCGCAGTAGGGTTTAGGCAGCGTCAGGAAGGGTCTTTCCAGCTCTTGATTCACAGGCCCAGCAATGAAAAGAATGACAACTGCCCACCACATAGTACAACTCTATGTGCAGGGACCTAATTTCTCACATTTAATCCTGAGTAAATCTGTTGGGTAAATATCTCCAACTCTAGAAAGTAGAGCTAAGGAGGTCAGTCTCCTCACCAGGCTCACCAGTTCCTAAGGCCAACTACCCCCACGCCCCTTCCCACAGCGAGCTCCTTCTCCATGAGAGAAGCCAGCACTGGCTTAGGCAGGGGGAGTGGTGCTTTTCTTCAGATTGCTTGGATGGAAACTCACTTCTCTGCATGGAACTAAGACGCAGGCTGTTCCCTGAAAAGTGCTCCAGCATCTTCCACATTCTGGCAGGAGCAGGGCCTGAGGTGTCTGAAGGGGAAAGCAGTTAATATGAAGTGTAGTCTATAAAATGCACAATTTATTTCTGTATATTCATTTGCATCTGGTACGCACACAGCTGTTAAATATATTCCCCAAGAACAGAAACATTATCCATTTCCATAATTTTTGAATTATAGAAATATTTAGTAAAACTGAAAATACAGCAAGCTTTTATAGGCCTTTCCAGTGATCGAGAGGCCCTGACAACTCCTCATAGTCGCTGTCATGGGAAACATATGTGCAGATGTCCTTCAGGGAGCAAAGATGTGAGAACATCGTGGGGCCAGGAAGAGAGGCATTCTGTGAGATTTCAGACCAGCGGAGGACCACAGAGATGGAGTGGGAAGACTTTCAGCTCAAGTAAAACTACCCCTTGCCCTGGCGTGGGGCAGGCAGTGCCCACAGCGCTTCTAGATAGTGACCCACACCCATGTGGCCATCCTGAGGGCTAGCAACACAGCTGCTGTGCAGGCCCTGAGTGGGGAGGCGTCCAGGATGCACGGGTCAGGAATGTGCCTGTTTTTTCAGCGAGCTTTCTATGCTGTGTCACATTTATGTAAAGAAACACATTTTCCTCATTTGTTTTCTTTGTAAAAAGAAAGGCACAGTGACAAAGAGTGAGACCACATGGTAGAGCCAGAAGCCAGTCATGTTTGAGAACGGGGCTCCCCACTAGCTAGCTGGACACATTGTTCTTTAATTATCTGAGTCTTAGAGGCTTGCCTACCTCACAGGATTCAGTTAGGGAAATTCAAAAACGTCTCATGAAACGTACAGTGACATTTCCTTGTGAGGCGTCACTCGTAATGGAGAAGTGTCCTGTCCCAACTGGGGTGTCATTTAGCATATGGTTTCTTCTAAAACTCAAATTAAGCAATCATTGAACACACTCAGAACAAACAAGAGATCAGTGTAGCTATCCCAAAACCTCAAGAGACAGGTAAATATGGGGCATTTCTAGAAAGTGATGCTGGAAAGGATATACATCACTTTCACTCCTCTGAAAACCCAATAAAATAACAGCACAAGAGGCCCTCCCTGGTGGCGCAGCAGCTTAAAGCACAGCACTAAGAAGCTTAAGCCACTTCACATGAGTTCGATTCCCGCCTGCCCCGGAGGTGACCACATGGCGCGGCAAACCTCTCCTGACCCGCCCGCTGCTCCCCTCAGCAGTGTACTTCAACGATCTACCTGTTCTGCTCCCCACTCTGTCCCTGGTGAATCCTCTCACATTCTGCATCTCTGGCCTGTACCCCAGTTCTGTATGAATAAATAAATAAATCTTAATAAATAAATCAATAAATAAAATAACAGCACAAAAATTTGTAGGAAAATGTGGGGAATTACTAGGAAAGATGATAGAGCGAGTGCACATTTATTTCTGCCCTCTCCTATGTTCCCAAGACAATAACCAGTAAGAGGACTTATGTAAGGTGTAAACACAAGAAGGAACAGAAAATCATTAAATGAATAGAAAAAGATTTAAAGGCCTGTGATAACAGGTAATGGGGAGCCCACCTATTCAGTCATCCAGAACCCTAAAAACTGAGAACCTCTGGAAGCAAGGGAGAGACGGATTTTAAATAAGGAAGGATGGTTGAAAGCCTGTTTAAAGCAGAGTTGAACTTTCAGTCCCAGTTTCCCCTACACTCAGCCTGGAGACTGCCCTGCCTTCCCTTCCCCCGACAAAGACTGGTGCTCCCGGGGAGAGGGAAATGGGAGGGTGCCCAAAAGATAGCAGATTCTGTGGTGCATGGATAGCCAGGACCTAGCTCGCAGTCTCTCAGAGGCTTTCAGGGCTCACAGGGCACTTAGACCTCACCAATCTGCAAGAGTCAGAAAAAGGTTTTTATTTGGAGTCTCACCAAGCCAAGATATAAAAACCTAAAGATACTGGCTTGGGAGTTTCTTTAATAAATTACCCAGACAGATTCATTTAACCAATATTTATTGAATCTCTATTGTGTGCCAGCTACTTTACTAAGTCCATCTGATTCAGGATAAAAAAAAAAAAGAAAGAAATCCTGTCCTCTTGGAGTCTCTATTGAGAGGGGTGAAAGAGATACGAGAGATGTAAATGAATAAAAGCTGAGGTACAGTAGGTGGTGACAATTACTGTTGACAAAATAAATTAGGAAAGGAGACAGCAAGTGTCCAGCAAGTGTCCGTACGGAAGATGCTGGGAACGGAGCTCCCTGAGAGGGCGTGGTTTGAGCCAGCTGCCCAGCACAGCAAAGCCAGCACGGCTGTTCGGGGGTCCATTACACGGCTAGAATGGCCAGAGGTCAGGGTGACAGGAGAAGAGTGAGCATGAGATCAGGAGGTCAAGGTGACCTCGAAGTGGCTAAGTGGTGTGGTGGTGAATAA